GCACACAGCACACACAGCACACACACACACAGCACACACACACACAGCACACACTGCACACACAGCACACACAGCACACACAGCACACACACACACACAGCACACACACACACACAGCACACACAGCACACAGCACACACAGCACACACACACAGCACACACACAGCACACACAGCACACACACACACAGCACGCACAGCACACACAGCACACACAGCTAGTACACACACACACAGCACACACAGCTAGTACACACACACACAGCACACACAGCACACAGCACACACAGCACACACAACACACACAGCTAGTACACACACACACAGCGCACACAGCTAGTACACACACACACACAGCACACACACACAGCACACACACAGCACACAGCACACACACAGCACACAGCACACACACAGCACACAGCACGCACACAGCACACACACACAGCAGTAGCACACACACAGCACACACACAGCACACACACAGTACACATACAGCACACACAGCACACACAGCACACAGCACACACACAGCACATACAGCACACACAGCACACACACACACAGCACATACAGCACACACACACACAGCACATACAGCACACACACAGCACATACAGCACACACTGTTCTAAAACAATTTTCATTGCCACAATTAACTTTATTTTTCAAATGACAATGTAACCAAATAGAAGCCACTCAGGCAGACGTGAACAACTCTAAAAACGCAATTCTGCCTTTCATTCAGTCAGATAACATTGAACAAACTGTATAGAATACCTTAAATTTCCATGAGTTAAATATCTTTACCTCATGAACATTTTTAACAGGAGTTATAAGTAATGCAAAGTGGTCTGTTATCATTAAACTTTAAAACAAGTGAATTTTGCCCTTGCCTTTTACAAGATCTTTCAGAAAGCAATAGTTTGTGTCACATCTACAGCTACATAACATCAACAGTTATAACCAAATCTTATTCAAGAGTTTAATAAAACAAGTGCCATGAGTCCATCATGTTTGCAATAACCACAATACAAGCAGTCAAAATGCAAACAAAAAGAAACAACTCTGATGATGATAATGATATGCACTGTCCTTGAAGTTGATTGGTCCACATCCGAGACAGTACCAGTTGAAAGGGTAAAAACCTATCACTATATTTTGCCACTGGTAAAGGAGGTCTCATAGTGTAAATGTTTACCCCGAGCTCTCAATACTCTGATAGTGCGCTGTCTTTGAGTTGTACGCCTTTTGGTGTCATCTGGTCCAACACCAATGGAGACTAGGCTCTAAGAAAAGCCGTCTCGGGTGTGGACCAATCAACTTCAAGGACAGTGCATATCATTATCATCATCAGAGTTGTTTCTTGTTTGTTTGCATTTTGACTGCTTGTGTTGTGGTTATTGCAAACATGATGCCTTCTATAAAGGTGTCAGTTGTTATACCAGTTGAAAAGGGTAAAAACCTATCACTATTTTGCCACTGGCAAAGGAGATGTCTCATAGTGTAAACGTCAAACCACATTTGGTGAACGAGGCGTGTAACGATGGAACTTCTCCAAAGAGACACGCGACCGAGCCAAGTGTGATTGGGCAACTGCGCCGTGCGGCGCCTTGCGCACGAGCGCGTGAGGTGCACTGCCCCAGCAACGTAGCGGCGCAGAACCCGCCGCCGCTCACCGTCCGTCAGCGTCGTACCATTGCCGGCACGGGGCTTGCAACTACCCGCCCCCCTCTGTTCGCACCCGGGTGCTTCGACCCCTCCGGCGCACCGGCGCAGTTGCACCGCCTGTGCACTCGACGGTAGCTGCGCTGCCGCGAGCGGTGAGCGGTAGACCAGGCAGTGCCGTTCGAGTTCACCCTTCACTTCGCTGCCGGCCGCTGGCGGCACGAACCTCGTGGCCTACGCAGAGATGATTGCACGAGTTGGGCAACTTGCGTGAAGGGTAACTGCGTTGCAGGGCAGCAAGTAGGTGGCCGAGCTAGCGCGTGCTCAACGGGCGTGTTGTCTCCTGCTGAACGTGTTTGTCGTATTGAAACGGCTGCACGCCGTACGGAGCTGGAAATCAAAATTTCCCTGTACAAGAATAGGGGTAAGCCGAATGGGTTGACATGTATGAATGTGTGGCATTTAAATACAATACTCGTTTTTATTAAATCTGTGTCTGTGTTTGTTCAGGGTGTGCCAGGGTCTCAGGGTCCTATGGGACCTCCTGGTGTGCCTGGACCTCACGTGGAAAGTTAAAGAAAGTGTGGGGTAAATAGTTGATGTCAAAGGTTTCTGGAAATTGTGGACTCCCCCCTCAAAACATATCTTTACCCCCACGTAGTTATATATAGCTACACGCCCTACATATGTAATAAATGGACTCGGACACTTCCTTCTGTCTTCGTGTCTTTTATTGGGTTCTCGTCTTCACCCACACGGCACTCTGTTATAACTCTGTAATTGTAGCCCCCGGCTATTCACTGCTATTATAGCTTCTCCTTCCCTCTGACTCTCTGCTTCATCTACTGTAACCTCCTCCCTGCAGACTCGCTGCTACCTCTATGCAGACTCCCGCTGCTACCTCTATGCAGACTCCCGCTGCTACCCCTATGTGCAGACCCTCTGGCTGCCACTGTATGCAGACCCGCTGCCCACTCTCTGTGCAGCCCCGCTGCTGACTGCAGCCTCCTCGCTGCCTCGGGTCGGTCACCGCTGGCCAACGGTGCCGATCCTCGCTGCCTCCGTGTTCGTGGCGATCTCGCCACACTCCGCTTCGCCCTTCGTGGCCTCTCTCTGTCCCTGGTTCCCCGTCACTCCCTATCCTCTTCCGGTTCCCCTCCTTCTATAGCTCAACCCCTCTCCCCCCACGTGACCTAACTCCTCCCCTCATGACGGCACCTCCGGAGGGCCGTTTACGCCCGCATTACACATACAACAGAGGAAGTAGCATCTATTGATTCTATCGTTGTATCGACTGACTGTACCGTAGTATCTACTGAGCCAGTAGTAGCTACTGACTGTGTAGTAGGATTTACTGCATTTCGTATTTTCATTAGAGACTGCACTGAATGTGTAAGTTGTGAATAAATGACGCTGCAGCGACGACAGCCTGACTCGTTCGTAGTTTAATGTCGCATTTAGTCGTCTAGACAAAAGTATCAGCTTAGATGCAATATCACCCTAAGAAAGTTACGTACCCGTTATTTTGGTATGATTTATCCAAGAGATAAACTGCCTCATGTGGCACTCCGCTTGTTTCTACTTTATATATACTACATTAATGTATACTTACATACATTTAATCACGATTATTTCCTGTTCCATCAGCTAAAATTACCATCATATATACAGTGAGGGAAAAAAGTATTTATCCCCTGCTGATTTTGTACGTTTGCCCACTGACAAAGAAATGATCAGTCTATAATTTTAATGGTAGGTTTATTTGAACAGTGAGAGACAGAAAAACAACAACAAAATCCAGAAAAACGCGTCAAAAATGTTATAAATTGATTTGCATTTTAATGAGGGAAATAAGTATTTGACCCCACTGCAAAACATGACTTAGTACTTGGTGGCAAAACCTTTGTTGGCAATCACAGAGGTCAGACGTTTCTTGTAGTTGCCCACCAGGTTTGCACACATCTCAGGAGGGATTTAGTCCCACCACTCCTCTTTGCAGATCTTCTCCAAGTCATCAAGGTTTCGAGGCTGACGTTTGGCAACTCGAACCTTAAGATCCCTTCACAGATTTTCTATGGGATTAAGGTCTGGAGACTGGCAAGGCCACTCCAGGACCTTAATGTGCTTCTTCTTGAGCCACTCCTTTGTTGCATTGGCCGTGTGTTTTGGGTCATTGTCATGCTGGAATACCCATCCACGACCCATTTTCAATGCCCTGGCTGAGGGAAGGAGGTTCTCACCCAAGATTTGACGGTACATGGCCCCGTCCATCGTCCCTTTGATGCGGTGAAGTTGTCCTTTCCCCTTAGCAGATAAACACCCCCAAAGCATAATGTTTCCACCTCCATGTATGACGGTGGGGATGGTGTTCTTGGGGTCATACAAGTTAAGGGGGAGGAGGGGGGGAGCTTACCAATGAATGGAACGTATTGGGAGGGGGGGGTGCTAAAAGAGGTGTACGTAGACGTCGACGTGGACGTGTTTGTGCGCAAGCCCCTGTTGGTGCACATGACAGAAGAGAACGACAATGCCCATGTTGTTTTCACCAGTGTTGGCTGACAATCAAATACGAAAAAGGAGAGTACTGTTAAACGCTGGGGATGTCAACACTCAGTAAAGTAAAATAGTGCCTGTCAGATAAAATGGTCCAAAAATGTGTAGTTAAATCTTTTTTTGCATGGTTAATAACATCTTTCCAATGATTACTAAGTTTGTACCCATCATCACGGTTGAAATTATGTCTGTGTTTGTATATCTGAATGGCTTCGTGTACAAACCTTTGATGGTATCCAGAGGGTTTGCAGAGCACCTTAGTCTCGGAAAAAACAATATCATGAGAGCCCATCTGTGAAGGATGTCATCCCTGACTTGCAATACCCTGGAGTCTATAAACTGAGTTGCAGCTGTGGTGATTGTTACATTGGGGAAACGAAACGTCATGTCTCTGATCGTGTCCGCGAGCACAAGCAAGATTTGAAACACGGCAAAATTGAGTCTTCCGCCTTTGCCGATCATTGCTACAACGCGGTGGGCTCTCATGATATTGTTTTTTCCGAGACTAAGGTGCTCTGCAAACCCTCTGGCTACCATCAAAGGTTTGTATACGAGGCCATCCAAATTTACAAACACAGACATAATTTCAACCATGATGAGGGGTAATCATTGGAAAGATGCTATTAACCATGCAAAAAGATTTAACTACACATTTTTGGACCATCTGCCGCCCTTCCATGCGCACCTTCCCCTGTAAAACACGAGATCATCGAGTCCACGCATTTCCCCCGTGTTCGACGGGGGAAATGCTCGCCGGGGGGGGGGGGGGGGGACGCTGGGAGACACTGGGAGATGCTGCACTCGGTGCCGGCGACATACAGAACTTGTGGGTCCTCGTGGTCAGCAAATCTGAGTGGGAGAAGCGGCATGTGGTTGGAGGGGCAGAGGTGGTGGTGGGGGGGAGGGGCAGGGCAGGGTGAGCAATGTGGACGAGTCACCGACTCCTCCTCTCTCTCCCATCATGCTGAGATCTCGGTGGCTACTTTGTCCCAGGCTCGGGAGCCGATTGCAGATCTCACTCTTGCAGGGATCCGCCTGGCGCCCCCCCCCACCCCGTCGGCAATCACGCAGGGTGGCGGTGGGTGGGGTGGTGAGTGGGGTGGAGTGAGGGAGGGGAGTTGAGGGCAACTGGGAGGTGCGGAACGACAGCCGCGCCATCAGGCAGCGACATCCGCTGACAATTTTGTCCGGCCATGATTGTTGTTGCCAGGGGCGAGGCCCGTGGGGGCCACGGCCGACAGTCGACGGGGCGAGCGATCGAGCCGGCGGATTAGTCGGGGCCCCAGCTTCCCAGCAAGCCGCCGCCGCCGTCACTTGCACGTGTACTCCTCCGCCCCCTCGCTGCACGTGCTGCAGCGCACGTAGCAGCACCAGCGGAACTCGCACTTGCAATGCCACGAGCGCGTGTACCGGCGCGTGTCGTAGCCGCGGCCGCAGCACAGCAGCTCGCAGCCGTCGGCGCGCGGCGACGTGCGGTCGCACGGGCGGCCGCGCGTGCCCACGCTGCCCGTCAGCCGGTCCTCCTCGCAGTAGCTAGGCGAGCTCTCGGTGAACACGAGCTCCGTGTGGAGCGGCTTGCGGTGGCCGCGCGAGCGCCTCGCCTGGAGGAAGGCGGGGTAGCGGTGGCGGTAGCGGCCGGCGTGCACCGGCTCCACGTGGACCGCCTCGTCGTACTTGCGCTTGAGCGCGGAGCCCACCTCGCGGAACTGGGGCAGCGTGGCCCAGCACGTCCTGGTGGTGCACGAGCCCAACACTCCGTGGCACTTACACACCGGCTTCATCTTCTCCTCCAGCACCTGGCGGCACGTGGGGGGGGAGAGAGAGACGAGAGGGCAGGAGAGCATCGGGGAGGTAGGTGGGGACAAGTGGGGGGGGGGGGGGGAGACAGAAAGACAGAGAGAGACAGAGAGAGACAGAGAGAGACACAGAGAGACAGAGACAGACTTTGACTTTAATAATTTTATTACATCAGCGGCAATTGTGCTGGAGTTTTCCAATATATGAGCCTTTATGGCAACACACAAACATGTAATAAAAGACTCCGTCAGCCACTGCTGGTCTCCGCTTGTCTTCTATTTAGGTTCTTCTCCGCACCCCGCTGGTCTCCTCCACGGACCAGCGTCGTCTCCTCTCGCGTGCCCCGCACGCTCCTCCGTTAGCTCCTCTACTCCCGCACTCCGCACCCCGCTGGCCGACGGCGTGCTGAGGACCTTCGGCCACGTGGCCGATGGTGCGGATCTCTCTCTCACCACCCAACGTGGCTCAGCCTCTCAACTTCCACGACTGCCCCGATCTCTTCCGGGCTCCCACTAATATACATTCCCCCTCATGTGATCCTGACTCCTCCCCTTCCGGATCGTCAGATCCGGCCTTCCCATAATGCCCCGCTGGCTCCGCCCCCATTCACCTCGCCTCCCATTGGAGCCGAGGTGAACGGTGGCCCCTCCCACACGCCCCGCAGACCAGGCTCCGCCCCCCAATACCCCGGGCCGCGTGATTGGACCAGAGCCCAGCAACAACCCCATTTACACTATGAGACACCTCCTTTACCAGTGGCAAAATATAGTGATAGGTTTTAACCCTTTCAACTGGTACAAAAACTGACATCATGTTTGCAAGAACCACAAGAACCACAACACAAGCAGTCAAAATGCAAACAAAAAGAAACTCTGATGATGATAATGATATGCACTGTCCTTGAAGTTAATTGGTCCGCACTCGAGACAGCTTTCCTTAGCTAAAAATAAGCATTGTGCCGGAAAAATGACGAGGAGAAGAGGTAGGATAATGGGGGGTGGGAAGGGGGGGGGGGGAGAGAGGGGGGAGGGGGGGGGTGATTTTGTTTTCAGCGCCTGCGTTGAATTGGATCTGGAGGAGTGCTTGGTGTGGGGAAATCGCTGGCACCTTGCGCCCGGCGGCGTTGTTGTGCAGGTTCATGAGCGTGCGCGCGCTCCGCTGGACCTCGCGCGCGTCCACGAAGAGGCGCGAGAACTCGAGGCTGTGGCTGAGGTCGGCCGAGCAGCCGCCCTGTGCATCGTAGAAGCCGCCCTGCTTGGCGCCGTCGCAGCCGCACCAGCTCCGGTCGCCCCGGCCGCACGCCGCCGTGATGGCGTACGCCACGGCCGCCGCCATCACGGCGTGCGCGAAGGCCGCTTCTCGGCTACCTGCTCGTGTCGGGGAGCCCACGCATGGGGGGGGGGGGGGCGGTGTGAGCAGCAGGGTGGGGGAGCAGGGACGCGGGGGAGGTGGGGGGAGGAGACGCGGGGTCGCGGTGATGGGGGTGGGGAAACAATTGATCGGCTGGATAAGGCAACTGCTGTATCATAAGCTCACGGGCAGCCTGCTGATACATGGAGTCCTCTCTGAGGAGATACCAACTGGGTCAGGTGTGCGACAGGGGTGTCTCCCTATGTCACCGGTGTTATTCATATTGTGAATGGAGCCCTTTGCCCAGGCGGTCAGGGGAAATCAGCGGATTAAAGGGGTGTAGGGAGCCAGCAAAAATAGCCATGTATATGGACGATGTCGTCATTTCCTGTGGGGATGTCTCCTCGGTATGGGAGGCCCTAGGACTCGCGGATAGATTATTTTTGGCCTCGGGATCTAACGTAAATGTGAGGAAGAGTGAGATGCTGATCTTCAGTGACCCCAGGCTATTCGAGGGCCGTCCACCGGTATAACGGTGCTGGGAGAGGGGATCAAGATCCTAGGGGTCAGCTTCTGTTGGCAGGACTCGGCGACGAAGCATTGGATGGGAAGGGAGAGGGCGGTGAGGGGCGGGCCGGCCGGCCGGGCAGACAGGCGCCTTCCAGTGGAAGGTAGAATGTTGGTCCCGAGGGTGGAAATCCTCCCGGCACTTATCTACCGGGCCTACGTGATCTCGCCGGGCGCGCAAATGGCGAAAAGACTGCAGCGAATGTTCTTCAGGTTCATCTGGGGAGGGGGGGGGGGGCGCGATGGGCCGAGTGGAACGGAAAACGATGTATAATAATAAAATCGTCGAGAACGGTGGGAGGGGCGCCCCGAATATCACGTGCACCCTCGCCACGATCCTGGTCTGCGACACGCTGCACCTGTATTTCTCCAATGGACTCCAGGTGGAAGCCTCGTTACGTACGGCACAGGCAGGCGTGGCTCCTGCGGTGGCCAGGGACGGCTTCGTTGCCGCGCGGCACCCCCGCGGCTTGGCCTCAGGGGTGGTCGTGCACCGCGGCAAGCGAACACGTCGTGAGGCGTGAGCCGGCCCAGACACGCGCGTCGTGGATTCCCAGGGACGTCCTGGCGGAGACGTCTAAGCAGGAGGCTGGTACAGAGGTGCCAGGTGCACGGGGTGCCGTGCACCGACTACTTTAGAAAAACGTAACATCGCCAGCCCTGACGAAAAGGCAATGGGATTTATCCTGGCTGGCGGCCTGGGACAGGCCGGAATAAAGACGGTTCATGTGTTCCCGAAGATTGGCCCGCACCCTCAGTGCCCATTTGCTCGGGAGGTGTGGGAGTTATGTCAGCCTCTGCTGCCTCATTTTTGTCCAGTAAAGGCCACATTGCCTAATATAATTTGGGGGATGTTCAGACAGAGGGCGGGGGAGGTCTGGGCTCAGGCGTGGGCCGTCGTAAGCGCCGTGAAGGAGGCGGCCCTGTGGGCGGCGCGCGGGAGAGTGATTAAGGGCACCTGCATGTCGGCCGTTGGAAAGGGTGGTGTAGGTGGAGACAGAGATGGTGGGCAGTGACGCCGCAAATGAGAAATGGCGGTGGCCTCCACCCCCGTGTGGCACAGAGTTTGAGGACGGCCTCCGCTGCGAGGGTAGGCGGATTCATGTTTCTTCCCTGGCGACGGTAAACTTCTTCGCTCAAAGGTTGTGTGCAGGATGTGTTTCTCGTGTTTCATACTCGGTGCACCTGCTGTCAGGGAGAGTGGTGCAGGCACTGGTTGTTACAACAGGATCACCGGCTCGGGTTGTGGTCATGCTTTCTCCTGTTCTTTTTTCCTGTTCTAGGCAGAGGACTGCCCATGATTGAGAAATGAAAAAACTTTTAAATAAATAAGAAACGTGGCGCGTTGCGAGTTCTAGAATTCAGAGAGAGACGCACAGGGTGACCGCACACCGCGGGTCCGCCCCTCTGCCGAACTGACGCCGAGTCGGGGCGCTCACCGCCTGGGAGCTCCTGGCCGAACACCGTCTCCTCCCCCAGCGCCGAGCAATTCCAGCGGCTGAATTGGAACTGGTGCCGGCACTCGCCGATTCCCAGCCGCGCGCCCTCGCCGACCGCGACCATCGCGTCCGGGTGGCTCCGGCACAGCGCCCGCTGCTGTGGCGTCAGTCCCGGAATCTTGCCGCAGATCGTGTCCGCGGACAGCGCCCTGCAGCCATCGGGCAGGCAGACGGACGCACGGACGGGCGCGTGGACGGAGAGCCGCCCGGCGGCACCGTGACCAGCGCGAGCGAACGCAGCAGCAGCAGCAGCGTGCAGACTTCTCCCTCGACGATCTTCACAGCGACCCGACATCGCCATCGCAGCCCCCCCCCCCCGTCACAACGCCGCGCGACGAGCCCGGCTTCTCGACGAGCCCGGCTTCTCTCTCTTACCCCACTCGCGAGTAGAAGAAGGCCGCCGTGAGAGCAGCAGCAATGCGCAGGAGGAGGAGGGGGCGGTGCGGCGGTGCCCAGCGGTGGACGCGCGCGCCGCATGGCGCCGTCTGCCGCGTGGCCGAGGCGCTGGCGCGCGCCATCTCGCGGAGTGTCACAGTGCCGCTGTGACGAGTCGAGCCAGACCACCTCGTCACACGCAGCAGCAGCTACACACACAGTGACACTCAGCTACACACAGTGACACTCAGCTACACACACACACCTACACACAGTGACACTCAGCTACACACACACACCTACACACAGTGACACTCGGCTACACACAGTGACACTCAGCTATACACAGTGACACTCAGCTATACACAGTGACACTCAGCTACACACACACAGCTACACACAGTGACACTCAGCTACACACAGTGACACTCAGCTACACACAGTGACACTCAGCTACACACACACAGCTACACACAGTGACACTCGGCTACACACAGTGACACTCAGCTATACACAGTGACACTCAGCTATACACAGTGACACTCAGCTACACACACACAGCTACACACAGTGACACTCAGCTACACACACACAGCTACACACAGTGGCACTCGGCTACACACAGTGACACTCAGCTACACACACACAGCTACACACAGTGACACTCAGCTACACACAGTGACACTCAGCTACACACACACAGCTACACACAGTGACACTCAGCTACACACACAGTGACACTCACCTACACACACATAGCTACACACAGTGACACTCAGCTACACACACAGTGACACTCAGCTACACACACACAGTGACACTCAGCTACACACAGTGACACTCAGCTACACACAGTGACACTCAGCTACACACAGTGACACTCAGCTACACACAGTGACACTCAGCTACACACACACAGTGATATTCAGCTACACACACACAGCTACACACACACAGTGACACTCACCTACACACACAGTGACACTCAGCTACACACACAGTGACACTCAGCTACACACACAGTGACACTCAGCTACACACACAGTGACACTCAGCTACACACACAGACACTCACCACACACAGTGACACACACCTACACACACAGACACTCACCACACACACAGTGACACACACCTACACACACACACTCACCACACACACAGTGACACACACCTACACACACACAGACACTCACCACACACACAGTGACACACACCTATACACACAGACACTCACCACACACACAGTGACACACACCTACACACACAGAGACACTCACCACATACACAGTGACACACACCTACACACACACAGACACTCACCTACACACACAGTGACACACACCTACACACACACAGACACTCACCACACACACAGTGGCACACACCTACACACACACAGACACTCACCTACACACACAGTGACACACACCTACACACACACAGACACTGACCTACACACACAGTGACACACACCTACACACACACAGACACTCACCACACACACAGTGGCACACACCTACACACACACAGACACTCACCTACACACACAGTGACACACACACAGACACTGACCTACACACACAGTGACACACACCTACACACACAGACACTCACCTACACACACAGTGACACACACCTACACACAGACACTCACCTACACACACACAGACACTCACCACACACACAGTGACACACACCTACACACACACAGACACTCACCACACACACAGTGACACACACCTACACACACAAGACACTCACCACACACACAGTGACACACACCTACACACAGTGACACACACCTACACACACACAGACACTCACCTACACACACACAGACACTCACCTACACACACAGTGACACACACCTACACACAGACACTCACCTACACACACACAGACACTCACCTACACACACACAGACACTCACCTACACACACAGACACTCACCTACACACACACAGACACTCACCTACACACACACAGACACTCACCTACACACACAGACACTCACCTACACACACACGGCTGCAGCAGTTGTGTGAACACCGCGTGGTTGGGAGGCAACCAATGATGACCACGCGCGACTTGGCCGTGGTGAAATCCTCTATGAAAAGTAGTTAAGGGGCCGTCCATAAATGACGTCACGCCAGGTGCGTGACGTCATTTTAATGACGGCCCCTAATCGATGCACACAAACACATTCAGAATAATTGATTCTCGATGGGCTTTAATTGATGAAGCAAGCAGGTGTAATCAATTCCGTCGTGTGTTCTAATTGCCCAAATCGCGCTGTGAGATGCACGTGCACGTGGCACCTTGACCAAGTCATTAAGGAAATGTGAGCCACATCTCACGCCCCTCCGCCCCCAGAGCCACGACACCATTCACCACCCTCGTCGGTGGGATACACGTCGTCACCTCATCGTCGTGTTGTCGATGACAGTCACTTCACACACATCGTCGTGCGGATCCACCTCGTCACGGGAGAGCCGGGACTTTCCAAATAAAAACGAAGCAATTGGCAACATTGTTACTGGTAGGAACCTCCTGGTTACACCAGCCCACAGGGGATTATTGTGTCCGTCCGTCCGTCCGTCGTGCAGGGAGGGGCTGGGTGGGGAGGGGTGGGGCTGGGTGGAGAGGGGAGGGTGGGGAGGGGCTGGGTGGGGAGGGTGGGGCTGGGTGGGGGGTGAGAGGGGTGGGGCTGGGTGGGGGGTGGGAGGGGTGGGGCTGGGTGGGGAGGGAGGGGCTGGGTGGGGAGGGTGGGGCTGGGTGGGGAGAGGCTGGGTGGGGAGGGGCTGGTCACCCCGTGGTGCCCTTATAAAACTCAACGTTTCACCTACTCACGCCGGCTTGTGCCCGCCCTCACAGTCGGGCATATTTGCGGAATACACCACGCCGCCGTTGACCCTGCAGGCCATTGACCGAGCAACCCAACGTTCCTGCCAGCTCCCTCCGCAGGAATGTGTTTCTGTTCATTTCCCATCACAACAACGGCAACAAGGAAATAACCTAAGAGTTAAATATTACCGCGTGATGGAATAAATTATCCTTCACTTGTTGCACTAAGTGGAGAGGAATTTACTGTTGCGTTGCACAATTCGTTGAACAAATTGTGATAGCCTTGTGACCTTTACCACTGACACATCGCCCCAAACAAGACGTACATTTTTATCTTGATCAAGGGTTATTAAAGGCCCGAACATTACAACTCTGTGTGCGTTTTTTTTGTTAGATTCATTTGGCAAGGGAAACTAGTTGGCTTTCCCTCTGCTCCACTCGCTTGCCACTTTGTCCTGCCACACCCACCCAGTGTGTCACCGCGCTAGTCTGCCATCACGAACCAGAGGAGATGAATGGTGAACATTTAACAGAGAAATGGAACATTTATGCTGGTCTTTGGAAACAGTTTTAAACAATCCAGGACGGTTTGCTTTCGTGGAAACATTCCAACCGAGATTGTATTTGTTTGGGATGTCCCAGCGGCAGTCGAGGTTTTTGGCAATGATCTGCAGGGATGGTGCGTTTCCGTTCCTAGCCGCGAGGTCATATCCTCGTTACTGCGCCGTCCGTGAGCGTTGGTTCACGTTCCGAGCAGTGAGGAAGTCCGCTTATCTTGCTTAAGTTGTTGAGTTGCGTCGGCAATAAACCCAAAGGGCAACCTTACCTGGTAAATACAGTAAACCATCTAGTCAACCACTGTAGTCTTCGTTCCTGCAATGAAGGAATAACAAAGCTACACCAACTCTCTCCCGGAGCCCTCTTCTGGCGAGCCGACCTCGACGTTTTCATGCATCTCGTGAACATATTGCCAGAATTGGAGTAAATTGTGATATGGTGCCACCTAGTGGCGATACAGCTCAGGGGAGTCTTTTATGTAAACAGGCGGCAAAGCCGAGTGAGAGATTCATGTTCATCATTATCAACCAAAATTAAATCCTATGCTGGATGGAGGCCTCTCCAAGCTGTCATCATCACATTTTCTTGCAATGCAACAATCCACGGAGCACCTGCATACGAGCTGATTTCAGAGCTCTCCACCTTAGATCGTTAAAGGTGCATTTGAAATAGTTTTTATACTCCTACTGATGCTCCTGCTGTTGTGGAGCGACTCATGCAGCCAGCTTTGGCTACAGGGTTTGGTGGAACGTGCTTTGTGTCGTTTATTGTGACATTTCGGTCACAGTTCCTATGATCACTGTTACATTGCTTATGGCTTCATTTTGGTGATTTCAAAAGTTTTTTGGTTTGGCCATGTTTGTTTGTTGTAGTACAGTTAGAATGATGGCTTTAATCTAAGTTGTCTTGTGGTTGTTGTTGTTTGACTGGCATCCCACTGGGATTTTTGCACAGCGTTGGTGTACAGTGCTTTTTTCTGGAAGACTTTGCAGTTTTTCCCTGGATTTTTAATCCTTTATAATAAGTTCACTTGCTTGCGTGCTTGCTTGCTTATGACCGTGCAAATCTTTCGGTCGTTTTTTAACCCACTTCCCGTGATCCAATCGAGCTGACATTTTGCACACAGACTCGTTGTGCGTGACAATTAATTTGTAAAAAATTTTTTCAAAAATTTTACACTGTTTAGGGGAAAAAAATTCAATATTTAATACCAATTGCTTAATGGTGGCAATCATCTGACCCATAGGTGGCAGCCATCTCAAGCCAGAGGAAGAGAGGACTCTAGCCGCCCGTTTCATGATGACGCAAATGTTGACTAACCACATGGCATGAAATCCCTGCCCCCACGCTGTACACTGGAGACTATTTATAGAGCAGTTAAATTGAAGCCGCCAGGTTCTTGAAAGTGGTAAAACGGGTCAACGCTAGTGCCCTCGGGAATATACGGGGCATGTCAAGAGGGGATCTTTCATTTTTAAATCCTTTATATTAACTTCACTTGCTTGCTTACTCAAGAAAAACAGAATTGAATAATAAAATGAAACCGATGTGTGTGGTGTGTAGTGTAAGCAATGTGGGATATCGATATACACTGACATGAACAAGATCAGCAGACAAGACGTCTTTCATACTCTTTGGTTCTTTCAGTAAAGTCACGTAGGTAGAAAAAAAAATAATAAATCAAGACGTTTCGATCGCAACACGAGCAGTCGTCCTCAGGCGAAAACATCCAGACATT